CCTTGACTTACAACAGGGGTCTTCAAACTTGGCCCTTTTATGACCAGTGGACTTCAACTCCCAGAATTCCTCAGCCAGGTACGAGAATTCTGGGAGTTGAAGTCCACAAGTCATAAAAGGGCCAAATGTGAAGACCTTAGTGGATATAAGCATATCAGGTGATGTGTATTTGTGTAATGAGGGAAGGTGTGGCCTAAGGAGATCTACACCAGGGCTCTTCAAACTTGGCCCTTTGATGACTTGTGGACTTCAACTCCCAGAATTCCTCAGCCAGGCATGCCTGGCTGAGGAATTCTGGGAGTTGAAGTCCACAAGTCATCAAAGGGCCAAGTTTGAAGACCCCTGATCTAAGCTAACAGCAGACAACTCTAAATTGAATTTGTGTGTCATTTATCATCTTACCTTTTCCATGTGATTGAAGGCTCAATTCCCGTAACATTAAACCCGTTGCAGCAATTAGCACTTAAGACTTATATACCGCTTCACGGTGCTTTACAGCCCTGTCTAAGCAGTTTACAGAGTCAGCAACCGGCCTGCATTTAGGCCACTGCGGTATCTCGTGGTCACCTGATCACCATTTATGACCTTCCCTGCTGGCTTCCAGTGAGTGAAGTCAGTGGGGAAGCCAGCAGGAAATCAAAAATGGGATCATGTGACTACAGGATGCTACAATTGTGCAGGATTTGACAAACAATGGCAACTGGAATATGGATGTTGTGGCTTATGATCGTGTCATTAAATGATGAGGGTTCCTGGACCTTGGAAATCTTCTAGTCCAACCCCCTGATCAGGCAGGAGACCCTAGACGATTTCAGACAAATGGCTGTCCAGTCTCTTCTTAAAAACTTCCAGTGTTGGAGCATTCCCAGCTTCTGGAGGCAGGTTGTTCCACTGGTTAATTGTCCTAACGGTCAGGAAATTTCTCCCGAGTTCAAGGTTGCTTCTCTCCTTGATCAGTTTCCATCCATTGCTTCTTGTCCTGCCTTCAGGGGCTTTGGAGAATAGCTTGACTCCCTCTTCTTTGGGACAGCCCCTGAGATATTGGAAGACTGCTATCATGTCCCCCCTCGTCCTTCTCTTCATTAAACTAGACAGATCCAATTCCAGCAACTGTTCCTTATATGCTTTAGCCTCCAGTCCCCTAATCATCTTTGTTGCTCTTCTCTGCACTCTTTCTAGAGTCTCAACATCTTTTTTACATCGTGGTGACCAAAACTGGATGCCGTATTCCAAGTGTGGCCTTACCAAGGCCTTGTAAAGTGGTATTAATACTTCACGTGATCTTGATTCTCTCCCTCTGTTAATGCAGCCTAGCACTTTGTTGGCTTTTTTGGCAGCTGCAGCACACGGCTGGCTCATATTTAAATGATTGTCCACTAGGACTCCGAGATCCCTCTCACAGTTACTACTATTAAGCAAGGTACCCCCAATACTCTACCTGTGCATTTGGGCTTTCTTGCCTAAATGTAGAACCTCACTTTTTTCACCACTGAATTTCATTTTGTTAGATAGCGCCCAGTGTTCAAGTCTGTCCAGATCCTCCTGTATCCTAAGCCTGTCTTCTGGAGTGTTGGCTATTCCTGCCAACATTGGTAAAGATTACCTGCAGAGAACATAGCATTATCTTGGGAAGCAGGATTTTATTTTCCCCTTTGAAGATCTCACACAGGTAGTCCTTGACTTACAGCATTCGTTTAGTGACCGTTCGAAGTCACGACGGCACTGAAAACAATGACTTATGACCATTTTTCACACGACTGTTGCAGCATCCCCCCATGGTCACGTGATCAACATTCAGATGCTTGGCAACTGACTCATATTTATGACGGTTGCAGTGTTCCGGGGGTCACGTGATCCCCTTTGGCGACCTTCTGACGAGCAAAGTCAATGGGGAGGCCGGATTCACTTAACGACTGCAGCGATTCACTTAGCGACTGTGGCAAGGTCGGTCATAAAATGGGGCATTTAGCAACCGAAATTTTGGGCTTAATAGCAGTCATAAGTCGAGGACTATCTGTACAGTTCATCTCCAAAATGAACATCAAAACTATTGTCTAAAGCAGGGGTCTTCAAACTTGGCAACTTTAAGACTTGTGGACTTCAACTCCCAGAATTCCTCAGCCAGCCCTGAGGGCTGGCTGAGGAATTCTGGGAGTTGAAGTCCACAAGTCTTAAAGTTGCCAAGTTTGAAGACGCCTGGTCTAAAGGCATGAAACACAGAAGGAGACCTTGCCTACCTTTTTCAACCTCATCTGCAATTATTCTAGAGTCAGGCAGTGGGCAGAGTGGAGGAAGGAAGGAAGGAATAGCACTTATATACCGCTTCACAGTGCTTTATAGCCCTCTCTAAGCGGTTTACAGAGTTAGCCTATTTGCCCCCCAAAACCTGGGTCCTCCTTTTACCGACCTCAGAAGGATGGAAGGCTGAGTCAACCTTGAGCCAGTGAGAATCAAACTCCTGGCAGTCGGCAGAGTGGCGGAAGGAAGGAAGGAATAGCACTTATATACCGCTTCACAGTGCTTTACAGCCCTCTCTAAGCGGTTTATAGTCAGCATATTTGCCCCCCAAAACCTGGGTCCTCCTTTTACCGACCTCGGAAGGACGGAAGGCTTGAGTCAACCTTGAGCCAGTCAGGATCAAACTGCAGGCAGTGGGCAGAGTGAAGGAAGGAAGGAAGGAAGGAGGAAGGAAGGAATAGCAGTTATATACCGCTTCACAGTGCTTTACAGCCCTCTCTAAGCGGTTTACAGAGTCAGCCTATTTGCCCCCCAAAACCTGGGTCCTCCTTTTACCGACCTCGGAAGGATGGAAGGCTGAGTCCACCTTGAGCCGGTGAGAATCGAACTCCTGGCAGTCGGCAGAATTTGCCTGCAATATTCCATTCTAACCCCTGTGCCACCACGGCTCTTGGCTACTTGGCAACTGGCTCCCATTTATGGTTGCAGTGTCCTGCAGTCAAAATTTATGACTTTTTTTTTCAGTTTCTGGCAAAATAAACCCCAAACCCCACCCCATTTAGGAGAATGTATTTAGTTAACAACTATGTGGCTTGATTAACAGCCACATGATGTGCTTAGTACCGTGCATAAAGTGTGGTGACTTGCTTTTATGCCTTTTGTAAATCAATCATAAAGTTTAATCAGGTCATGTGGTGTCCCGCTTAATGATCACAACGACTTACTACCAACATTTCAGGCTCACTTGCGGTCGTTAAGTTATCCCCTGTACTTTGGAGCAGAAATCAAGAATTTTTGAATGTAGGAGAACGTTTTTGAGCAGTGCATTTGAAGAAAGGCAATTAGATTTCGGCACATCTGTGGTGAAAGAGGTTCGTTTGTTCTTTTTTTTAATGCTCTAATCCCAAAACTGCTACATAGGTTGCAGTACAGATTAAGCCAAGCTTAGGAATTGCTACAGAGAAGCAGAGTACAAAAATCTACATTCCTGTTTCTAAAAAAAAAGACATTTATTTTTTTTACCCTCCCAGGTTTTAAGGGCTCGTTCATCCTGTACTGGGGGGCTCTGCTCCCCCCCCCAATCTGCCTGTCTATTTTTTAAAAATGCCACTGTTTAAAAAAAAACAAAAAACAAAAACTAAATTCCATTTTCTCCAGCTGACAGCCGGGGACCAAAATGAGAGAGAGATCAAATAACCGGAGGACGTTTGGCAAAGCAGATATTTTTTCAACACTGGTGCCAAAGATTTCTAGGACGGCGTTCTTATTTAAGCAACTGTATCCTGCGGTAACACGAAGAGCAGATGTATTTCTAGACTCACGACAAACAATTCTAATTTTTTTTTTAAAAAAGCAAACTTGCTGAAAAGGTTTGATCTTGGAATTTCAACCTTGCCAGGACCTGTTCACATTAAAAGGCAGGCCAACCTGAAATCTAATTGGCCAAAATTATATATATTCTAACTTGTCGACAAGGAAGAAAACCCCAAATAGGTGCAGCTCTTAATACCTTTTTTTATCTCTTGCACCAATATCCAAATTTCCCCACTATTAACCCTCTTTTCCATCCTGGCTCAGGATGGTGGAATTTGTTTTAAAACACTTGACTGACTGACATATAGGGGTTATGGTGCAGCTATGGCCTTGTATAATAAATCAGCCAATCCCTTACTCTCTCGTCAAACAGAGGCAACGAATCGCAAAACTATTGCTACGTATCGGCAGCTTGAAGATGGGTGGACTTCAATTCCCAGAATCCCTCGGTCAGCAGCCCAGAATTCTGGGAGTTGAAGTCCGCCCATCTCCCAAGTGGCCGCGGTTGAGAGACGCCATTCTAGATTTGAGATTACACACAGATTACACACAGATGGAGAACGTCTCTAAATGTGAAGCTGTCCAGTCTTGGCAACCTTAAGACTTCAACTCCCAGAATCCCCAGACTTCTGGACTTCAGTTCCCAGAATTCTGGGAACCGAAGTCCAGAAGTCTTAAAGTTGCCAAGCTTGGACACCCCTGGTCTAATGTATTAGTGCTTGGGAGATCCTGCCCTAACTCGCTAGCCACAGCTACTAATTCAACAACAACAAAACAACAAAGCAGTAGTTGTTCTCAACAGGAAGCCACCTCTGATATCCAGCGAGGACTTTACTGGCCACGGGGACCCCCCCTATTTAGAGGGGGCATCTGTCTCAGGTGCTGCCACTGACCGGCCATCCCTTTTCAACTCACGGAGAAGTTGAGGTGGTGAACGACACGCCTTTCTGCACCAAGGGCCTCGTTGGAAAGACTTCAGTGGACCCAGCTTGGTGGACAACCCCCAAGAGATCCCGGTCCCCAGCTTTCCACGTGGCCGCGCAAAGGGATCCAGGCCTGTAGTGGGAGGAGATGACCACTAACCAAGCTATTTACAAAGGAGGAGAGACAGTCAACCACGCCTGTGGACAGTCTCTACAGTGCCGTGACTTAAGAATGAGGTAACCGAAACCAGGCTGGGTTGGGTTGTACGTTGTGACGGTGGGCGGACGTTTGCCGAAAAAACTCAAATCGAAGGGTGGACCTCCGTGGGACTCCAAGGTTTGGTCTCTTCCGCTCTTCTCCTCCGAAGAAGCCACAGCGGCTTTTCCTGGCCTTCAAGCCGGATAGGTGTGGAGGAATGCCTTCAGCTTGGTAGGGTAGTCGGTCATCACCCCGGTGGCCCCCAGGTCGAAGGCCCGCTTGTATTCGTGGTCTTCGTTGAGCACCCAGATGTAGACCTGAAGGAAAAAAAGAGGGGAGTGGTCTTAAGTTTCCGCGGGAATTGCCCACACCGATTTTCAGTCTGTGCTGCGTTCCCAGGTGAAAGGACTCCGAGTGGGAGCAGCTGCTTCAGTTCGCTTTCATCGTCCGCTGCCTATTTATTCCTTCCTTAGACTGGTACAGGCAAGTCCCTGAATCGCCCCCTTTTATTTAGTGACCATCCAAAGCCACAAGGGCCTTGAAAAAAAGCGACTTATGATCCGTTTCTCTGACTTATGACCACTGCAGCAGCCCTACAGCCATGGAGAAAGACTAGGGGGTGACAGGATAGTAGTCCTCCCAAATTCAAGGGGCTGCCACAAAGAAGAGGGGGTCAACCTGTTCTTCAAAGCAAGGGGAGGGGAGGAGGGAGGCAGGGCAGGAGAGGGAGGAGGGAGGGGAGGGGGGAGGGGAAGAGAAGAGGGGAGAGGAGAGA